ATATTATTCTCAAATAAATAAATAAAGAAAATGTACTTGTTGTGAAAAGTTCTTTAATTGCATTGATTTACTACACATATTTACGAAATTTAAATTAGGAAACCAAGCTATTTTTAATTCGGTCTCGTACTGTTTGTGCAATACGTAAAAAATCGTTCTCTTCTATATCGGAGTTGGTCGATAAAGCTAAATTTGAGCCTTCTTCATCGCTCTCAATAACAGTTGGTGGTTCAACATTATATGTAAGGCAAATGTTACGCAGTGCACAACAAGCATTTAAAATTTTTACTACTTTTTCGGGTGTATAATGAAGCTCTCTTTCAGCAAGTAGGCAACGAAAGCGATCTTTTAAAATTCCAAACACTCGTTCTATTATCGATCGCGCTTTGGTAAACCTTTCATTATATACCATTTCTGGAGAATTTTCTTCTGCGTTACGGTAAGGTGTGAGGAGCCATGGCTCTAATGGATATCCAGAATCACCTTCAAAATAGAAGATAATGCATGCAAATTTGTAAAAACCGGTACGTTTTGGAATATAAAACAGATTATATAAGAGTTTGTTACAGAGTACTGTGCTACTAACAGGATTTTTACACCATATGCATTTACATATGTAAATGCTACTTTTTTGTATGGACTCGTATGTACCATATATTACATTAGGGCTATTCGCGATTCGGTGCATAAGAGCTGACAAATTTATGCAATTGCAGAAATATGCCATGGATTGTGAGCGACCTTTATTAAACTGTCATGGTAAAGCTTTTGCAAAACAATTTTTGTGCATCAGCTTTGGTTTTGTTTATGAATGCAATGCATAGCATTTTTATGCTATGGATTTTCGGTATTGCAAATTTGCCAAGCCATGACAAATGCAAATGCGTGTATTTTTTTTGTGTATTGCAAATAATTTGCAATACAAATTTGCAATGCAATGATGCTAGGCCATTTGCACCGGATCGCGAATAGCCCTATTGTATCACAAAATTAGCATTTACATATGGAAATATATATCGTGTAAGATTGCTTTAAGTGATACAAGTACATATGGATAAAGTCACCTACCAATTATCCAAGATGATTTGTCTCCATTTTGGTATTGGGCTTTTATATATTGTCGTTCGTTTGACAAGCTCCATACATGAGAATCATGAGCCGCTCCACCATAGACTCCATTCACAGCTCTTATGTACATCTTGTGATCACAAATCTAATAAAAAAATGTTATGAAATGGTATGAACAAAAACTTGTAAGTATTAAAAACTTACCACCATTGCATTGATGCTATGCTTTAGCTTCCGGTTAAAGAACAGATGTTCATCCTTTACCGGCCTAACCATATGGGATATGGGTTCCATCAACAGCACCTATTATTCCTGGTAATCCAAATTTTGAGTAGAAATGGTTTTTGGATTCACGCTTTTCTTGCACGGTCATTTCAAATTTTATGTGCCTCGGACATAAAGTTTTTTCAATCGCATTAACTACTTCCGTGATACATTTAGAAGTCGTGGATTGCGCTAATCCTGCGAAACGGTCTTGCCCTATTTGGTGCTGATAGCCCCCTTGTCCCAGAAATTTTAGAGTAGCAGCAAGTTTTACTGTCGGAGTTACTGCCGTAGATCTTATAGGTGCATGTAATTCGTGTTCTATGCTCCTCAACACATAACTGAAGGCATCCTTGGAAAGCCGAAAATTTTTTATGAAGCTATATTTTCAAATATATAATCATTAATAAGTTAAATTTATAGCCGGTTATATTACATATGTATGCATTTACCTTCTTTCCGATAATTCATCAATATTAAAATGATCTCTTATAGCCCTTCTTGCATTTCTCTCTTCATTAATTTCTTCGTCCATCCACAATGCAACAGAATCCATTTTTTGTTTGTTGATAAAATGAATAACAATTGTTTAATTTAAATTATGTAGTTGTTTACTTGTTTTCCTTCTACGTATTTTGACGTTTGACATTCGAAAATTCTGGCACAGGGTGGCACAACTTTCGCAAAACTAGAAACTCGATCCGAAACTTTTACAGAATGCTAAACCAAATTCGACTCGAATAACAAATTCGAATAGAATCAACTTTCGATTCGAGTTACAGAATAGGGCCCCAGGACTCGCAACTCTACGAGCACAGGTAGAAATACAAAGGCTCTAAATAACACACAATTAAAGGCTTGATTACACATATGCTGATCAACGACCATTGTATGTACTTCTGGAAGAAAATTACACAAGGAACACGCACATAATCGGAATTTCACAGCGAAATCAGCAGAGCACTGAATCTCTCACTCTCAAAGATAGAGATGTCAGGAGAACAAGGACCTGCATCCATGTTAGAATATGCAAGCCAAGAAGCAGTCCATACTTTCATCACAGGACTCAACAGCAGGTATACAAGCGGCACATTATACAGTCATCACCCAAAAGACTTAAAAACCGCATATGCAATCGCAAGCACGATTTATAACGACGATACGAACATGCAGTTCGACGCACAAATTACACCACAAAGATATAACCAGCGACAAAATCCTCAACAACAGAGATATGATGATAGAAGGAGATATAATCCAAATGTGTTGGTACAATATAACCTCCAACCACGCCAAGAACCAATGGAAGTAGATGACTCTCGTCAACACGTGCGACCAACACAATACAACAATCAACCCCTCCTAAGGAACAACTGTCAGCAATCTCAACGATTCAATAACCCGTTCAGAGAAGATCAACAAGCAGCAAAACGCGGAAAAACTCCTTCTTCAAGAAATTACAACACCAACGAGGTACAACGAATAGACCTACAATCACTCGCCCCCACATACTGATGATATCTACGAGAGGGGAAGTGCTTTTTTTTAGGAGAATAAACGANGAAAAACTCCTTCTTCAAGAAATTACAACACCAACGAGGTACAACGAATAAACCAGACGAGTGATGAAGACCTACAATCACTCGCCCCCACATACTGATGATATCTACGAGAGGGGAAGTGCTTTTTTTTAGGAGAATAAACGAATTATCGTGTCTCCAAAGGCGGTGTCAAACGACAGGTATATCCGTTAATATTTTAATTGATACAGGTGCGAAAAATAATTACATTAGTTCTAAGTGTAAAGTAGGAGAATCTATACCCATAAAACCGGTTAAAGTTAAAACGCTTCATGGATACTCTTTAACCAAAGCTATGAAAATTATTACAATACTCAATCATAATTTAGTTTTTTTTTTTTGAAACCGAAGCTTTAGAGGAGTTCGGTATGCTTCTGGGTGAACACGGTCTTAGGGTCTTGAAAGCAGAAATTAACATTTTCGAGTATAAACTATCATATAAATATAAAAAGCAAGTAAGCGACCAAAAGGTGAATTTCACAATTAATAACGACATGCATAAAACTGAAATTGAAAATATCATGACAGAATCAGAAGATCCTATTTGGGTGAAGCATTAACCGTATCCGATAGCAGACAGTGAATTTATAAACAAAGAAATAGATAAATTGTTAGATAACCAAATTATTCAACCTGGCAAAAGTCCTTACAATTCTCCAATCTGGGCCGTCGCAAAAAAAGGTACCGATAACGAAGGGAAACCTAAAAGACGAATGGTAGTAGATTTTCAGAAGCTTAACGCTCAGACTATCACTGACAGACATCCTATCCCAGATGTTGCTATGACAATTCAAAATCTAGGTAAAGCAAAGGTTTTCACAACGATAGACTTAGAGTCAGGCTTTCACCAAATCTTGATAAAAAAAATCAGACAGAGATNACTTAGAGTCAGGTTTTCACCAAATCTTGATAAAAAAAATCAGACAGAGATAAAACTGCATTCAGTGTGAATGGCANAGACGAATGGTAGTAGATTTTCAGAAGCTTAACGCTCAGACTATCACTGACAGACATCCTATCCCAGATGTTGCTATGACAATTCAAAATCTAGGTAAAGCAAAGGTTTTCACAACGATAGACTTAGAGTCAGGTTTTCACCAAATCTTGATAAAAAAAATCAGACAGAGAAAAAACTGCATTCAGTGTGAATGGCGCAAAGTATGAGTTCCTTAGGATGTCGTTCGGTTTAAAGAACGCGCCTTCTATATTTCAGCGATGTGTAGACGATATCCTACGTCCATATATTGGCAAGTTCGCATATGTTTATATTGACGATGTACTCATATATTCCTCCTCACCCGAGGAACACATGGAACATATTCGTACAATAGTAAACGCACTTCACAATGCCAATATGAAGATTTCAAACGAGAAATCGCATTTTTTCCAGGTTTCAGTCGAATACCTCGGACATATAATAAAATATAATAAAATAACTGTAGATCCAAATAACATTCAAACTGTAAAGAATTATTCAACTCCAAAAAATTTAAAAGAATTACGATCATTTCTTGGCCTAGCGAGTTATTACAGGAAATTTATACAGAATTTCGCTGCAATAACGAAACCTCTAACAACATTTCTACGCAGAGACAATGGTGGTGTAAGTAAAAATCAAAGCGCAAAGGTCTCAATTAATCTAGGCGAAACAGCACTTGAGGCTTTGATAAAAATAAAAGACGCACTACAAGCACAAGTTGAATTATTTCAACCAGACTTCAGCAAACCTTTTGAACTAACGACGGGCGCAAGTAACTTTGCAATAGGAGCTGTACTCTCTTAGAACAAGAAACCTATTTCCTTTATATCTAGAACTCTTAGCCAAACTGAACCAAATTACAGCACGAATGAAAAGGAATTACTCGCTATCGTTAGGTCACTTCAAAAATTAAGAAATTACCTATATGGTATAGCAGATCTAACGATTTGTACAGACCATCACTCATCTTTTCGATTTCGGAAAAAAACCCAAACACTAAACTAAAACGATGGAAAAACTTCATAGGAGAATACGGTGCTAAATTAATATATAAACCAGGGCATCAAAACGTTGTCGCTGATGCATTGTCTCGCCAACAGATTAACAACACTTTAAGTTCCTCACAACATTCAGCTCAAAGTTCACCAACAAAAAAATTGAAACGCGTAAAACAACCATTAAATACATTTAGAAATCAAATAGTCATAAACTACAGTGCAACCAATTTAGTGGAAATCTCTTCGCAAAATATTTTTTCATATTCACGACACACACTTTTTTATTCGACTAAAGAAGAATTAATTGATAGACTGAAAAGAATAATAAACCCAAAGGTAACAAATGCTATAAAAATAGATAAACAAACTCTATTCCACATAGAAAATGACATAATTTCAACGTTTCCGAATACCCCGATCGTTTTAGCTCAGAAAATGACAGAATACATAAACAGACAAAAAGAAATCGTAATACAAACACACAGACGTGTACATAGAAATTATAAAAATAATGCAAAAGAAATACTGACTACATATTTTTAGCCAAATTTGGCCAACTTTGCGCCAAATGTGTAAAAAGGAAACACAAGATTGTGAAATCTGCTTAACAAACAAATACGAACGCAGACCAAACAAACAACCAATTGGAGCCGCACCAATACCAAATCACGTAGGTGAACACATACATTTAGACTTATTTCACATGAACGGCAACACATACATCAGCACAACTGATAAAACTCAAGGTACTTATACATACGGGAAATTCCAAGTAAAAATAATACATACATTGACGAAATATTATCACAGATTTACCCAAACGCCAAGTATGTAATGGCAGATACCGAATCAACATTCACGGGCATATGTGCGAAACAAGTCTACGAAAAACTACAAATAGTACATACAGTTACACCAACATTCATTCGACAACCAACGGTCATGTTGAGCGTACACATAGCACCCTGATCGAACTCGCTAGAGTCCTAGCACAGGACCGGAAGACGAAATTTTTAACGCGGTACGACAATACAACAAAACAATTCACTCAGTCACAGGAGAGAAACCCGAGGACGTGTTCTTCAATCGAGGAGGGTATACTGACATTCAAAAAAAACTCGAAACAAATCAAAACAAAGTGCTTTCATACCATAATAAAAATCGTAAGAGTATCACTTACTCCAAAATACACCGTCGAAACAAAAACGTACGAAAATACGCGAAACATACAATAAAATAAGACAGAGGTGACACAATACTTACAAATCGTGGTCCTGTTATACACAAAGACAATATACGAGTGCAAGCATGCAGAGAATAATAATTTTATTTTTAACCTCCACCGCCCTCTGCGACAGTATAATGGATTTAAAGGACAAAAAATACGTAATGATAGAAACCGACGCAGTATACGTGTACCACGAAACTTTATTTTTATATCATGTAGCAAACATTTCAAAAATATTAGCACCCTATGAGAAAATAGTAAGATCTACTTACAAACTCGAACAGAACTCAGTAGATCAAATATTTGTCAACAAAATAGAGACACTTAAGTCACAATGACTTCCTAACATCTTTAGGGCTAGACGTTCACTTAACTTTCTAGGGTCAGCTCTTAAAATTATTACGGGTACACCCGATCACGACGACTTAATCGAAATTAAGACAGGATTAAAAATGCTGATAGAAAACGGTAACAAACAAAAGAAAATAAATTCACAGTTTGAAAGAATTTTAGAGACTCTCGATCCTAAAACTATAACAGATGATTTAGTGATGACCGAAGTATACAACGAACTATCCTCTGTCGCTAATACAATTAATTTTGCAAAAAATGGAAACTTCTACTCAGGAACTCTAAATTTAAAGGATATTCAACAAATAGTATCCAATGAAGCATTAGACTCACCTTTAATTATATTAGAATACTCTGACATACATGTCTGCTACTTTAACCACGCAATGGTAACTGTATATAAATATCCAATATTAAACACAAAATATAACTTGTTCAATATATGTATACCCACTTGCTTACAAACATGGAAAGATATTACTAGACTCTAAGATAGCAAAATGTAACAATGTCTTTGCACCTATTGAAAAATGTAAAAACTATGTTGGGAACTATATATGTAAAATTAAGAACTCAGACAATTGCACTATTAACACATTGGAGAATAAGCCTGCCAAATGTAAAGTGATACACGAAAACAACGCACCACTCGAAATACTTGAAAAAGGAAATATCATAACAGATTACAACCACACCTGGAACAACATAAAAATAGATGGGCCGAAATTAATACAATTCAACTACTCTGCAACAATCGATGGAAAACAATATTCCAACCTGCAACAGGAATACAAAGATGCCATATACAAACAACATGACGACCAACTAGAAGTCCTACGCATCATCGGATCCAAAGCCGATTATAACTTTAGCAATATTGAAGAAATGTCAACTTTCCTGATACCAATCGAGGAACATCCCGTCCAATACACCTTCTACTGCATCCTGGGGTTATGCACACTAGCATTACTTATCTATGGTAGAGACAAACTCTGCAAATGTTACATAGCAAAGAAAGCGGAAGCAAGAAGAAAAAGAATCGACGAAATGTATCAAATAGAACTATTCAGACTCCAACAAGAACAATATACACGTTAAAGCGAGGACGCTTCATTTTAAGAAGGAGGGGAGTTAATGACTTCGTCACAAGGCACGTAAACAAAGTTTCCACTAAGCATCATCAATAACAACCAAACATGCATTATCAAGAAATGCATTCTCAACATGTAAACAACAAACATCTGGCAATGGAATAATCCACTGCGATAACTACCGCCGCATCTCAACAATAACAAACAAGTGATAACAAGATAACAGATACCGAATTTCAACAAAGAAATGGCAAGCAGGTAATAACTACCGCATCTAAATAACAACAAACAACATGCAACCAGATAACAGCAGCCGCATCTCACTAGTATAAATAGCTGTAAGATCTTATATTATAAACAGTTTTAAGAATATCAATAAAGTGTACGCATTTCGGCGTAGTAATAAAAATGTATTTTTTTAACTCATATCGTGAAAGCGATTATAACTCGCGACGGAAAAACTGAAACCCACAATTTGGGGGCTCGTCCGGGATCGTCGTACATTTGCGAAAGAAAGTAAAAGAAATACTTCGGTGGTCGGTTCTTTTTATATTTCTACGGCGCACATCAACTCAGCGAGAAACAGAGTTCCGTGTGTTTGTGTGCAAAAAGCGTCAACTCTTTTCATAAGGAATGGAGTCGATTGGGTAGCAGAGTACGAGTATTTTCTCTCAAGCGCAATACAACAGCCAGCGAGCAGCATAGCAGCGTCGGTTTTATTTTATGCAAAAGCGTTAACTTGTCATAAATTAATTGGTGTACAGAAAACGGTAAGCCCCTAGAGCAGAGCCGGGCCAGCGCAATTAACGGAACTTGTAGGCGGTTAGACCAGCAATTAGCGGAGGTGCGAAGTAGCAGAGCGCGTAAAGAACATCGCACGCAGTGGCAGAGCCCAGTCGTACATAGCAGCGTGCCTAGTAGCAGAGAGCAATCGTATATAGCAGCGCGCCTAGCAGCAGAGCGTAGTCGGTAAAGTACATCGTGCGCTGTAGTTTGGGTGAAGTATCAAAGCAGCGTAAAATGCAGTGAAATTGGTATAGTGCAAAAGGAGTGCGTAGGCGACAACAGCGAAGGCTATCAACAGCAATAGAAGGCAGCGCGAATCAACACGGGCGTCATACAACCAAAAGAATACCTGCAAACATGTTGCAGTGAATTCATCGAACTACAATAGGAAGAAGTTGTTTATGTGTCGAAAAGGAGTTCGACAGTGTGTTACAGTGGCAGACGGCAGAGTCGAGCAGTCGAGACGAAGTCGAAGTGGATATTGAGTTTCATGTCGCCTGAGAGAGCGATATTTTGTATGATACGATTCTGGGCAAGGATGTACTCAGGCAAGTGGATGTTGTCGTTGATGGTGAGGGCGTTAAATTAATCTGTTTAATGATGACAGATAGCTCGCGACATAGGGTACAGGTGGAACAGCTGAAAGATGAGAAGTTAGCAGCTATACAAAAGGTTTTAGAGCATGAGAGCTATCATAATTTTACGTAAAACATGGTGTTCTCCACAAAGATCCCGCTAAGGAACTTATGGTAGTACCAACATCGATGGAAAGGGAGGTCATCCAAATAGCTCACCGATAAGGGCATTACGCAGCGAAGAAGACGCAAGATTTGGTCGAGAGAAACTTATTTGTTTACAATTTGGCGCCGAAAGTAACGAACGTAGTAAAGAGCTGTGTAGAATATTTGGTTGTAGAGGCTAAAGCTGGGAAAAAGGAGGGCATGCTTAATCCAATTCACAAAGAGAACAAGTTACTTGTAACGTACCACTTGGATCACGTGGGTCCCATGGAGGAAACTAGAAAGAGATACAATTATATACTAGTATTTGTCGAAGCGTTTTCCAAATTTGTGTGGCTCTATCGCACTAGAAGCACCGGCAGCGAGGAAGTGTTAGACCGGTTACAAAAGCAGGCAGCAACGTTTGGAAACCCGTTAAGAATTATAACTGATAGAGGGACCGACTTTACGTCCAACGCATTTGTGGACTACTGCGAAGAAGAAAATATTCAACATTTGGTCATAACGACTCATGATTCAATAATACAAGGTTCGATAAACTGACAGTTGTCTCTCTCGCACCGCTCCCTTAGCAGTGGCACCGTGTTGCTTCTTTGCAAATTTACATGGAAACAGTGTAGCTTTGCTGTGAAATAGAAGTATAAGCTTTTGTGGAATATGTTTATTTGTATATGCATATGAAGCATATTTAACTGATGAAAAAATAAATTGTTTTTAAATTGGATGTTTACATCAATCTCTTAGTAGTCTTATTTTAATTTTGAGTCATTTTGCAGTTTTTATACAGCCAAATAGCACATAAATTACGTAATTCCCGTGGATATATCAATATTACGTTCAACATTTCGTTTAAAATGCCAGATTTCCTGCAAATACATTAGGATTTACAAAAGGAATTTCACTACTAATTGCCTACTTTGCGTACTTTTATACTACCATTTTCGCACCAAGAGATTTCATTCTTCCCCTTTGGCCGTCCTTCGAAAATGCAACCTTTTGTAAGGGAGTGTCAAACCGCAGCTGTCAATAATTATCTAACCTTGTATTATTGAATCATGATAATGACTGGAGTGCCACGTGGTAACGGGCAAGTAGAGAGAGTCCACAAGATCGCCATGCCAACGTCGACAAAACTCTGCGTCGAGGATCCGAAGCTATAGTACAAGCACGTGCAACAAGTAATTAATTTTACGCCACCGCGAAGCACAACGTATGCTCCGTTCAAGCTCCTGACTGGTGTTGATCTGCGCGTTAACAAGAATCACGAGATTCGCAGGTTGTTAGAAGAATCAGCGGTTGAGGAGCTGGAAGAGGAGAGATGCAAGATAAGAGAAGAAGCCCGAGACAACATAAGTAGCGTGCAAGAGGAGAACGTGCGAAACTTTAATAAAAAACGCAAAATAGAAACCGAGTATGAGGTCGGAGACTTAGTCGCCGTTAAGCGCACTCAATATGGAACCAAAATTTTTCGGACCGTATAAAGTCATGGATAAGAAGGCGTATGGTCGTTATACCGTACAAAAGATTGATGACATATAGGGGCCTAGAATAACGCATACAGTAGCAGAGTACATGAAACCGTGGAATCCTTCATTCGAGGCGAATGAAACATCAGAATGGCCGAATGTGGGATTGACTGATAGACGACGGACTACAAGAAGTGGATGTAGCTTCTAATTTTTAACTTCGACTGAAATACAATACATCCCTGCACATTCGAACTTTGCTACAAAACGGCATCTCTGATTGAACGAAGAGAGCCAAAAACCGAACCCTAGACAAACGAACGGGCGACTCGAACGCAATACACGGACTGATCGGACGCAATTGTTTAATTTCTATACAATAAATTACATTTACTGCAATTTTAAATTTTAATAAATAGAGTTTCATTTCGCGTGACGAAAAAACAGAAACCCACATACATATAAAACGTACCCTGTGGTACAATTGTCACAAACAAAAAGCAAACGTTTCTCGTTGGGGAAAATGACGGTGAATCTTACAACTTGTTTCTGACTATGTACAAAACTGTACAAAACCACAAATTATATGATGATCGATGAGCAAATGGGAATTGTTTTGTACAGTTTATTTTCGTACTCTGATTTTAACCGTTTTCCGGCTAGATTTAGCCGGTTGCGATAGCAAACAGCCGGAGAAATTTCGATTTAGCCGGCAGCCGATTTGTTTACCGTTTTGTAAAAAAAAAAGTTTGCCATTTTTAGCCGATTTTGCTATTTGCCTTATTTTTTAAACAAACTTTTTTTTGCTGAGAACTTATTTAAATACCAAAAACCGAAGGAAGCAACTCTGAAATACGTCAAAATGAAAATAAAAGAGCACAAATTTCTATGTCAAGCAAAACTCTTTGGGAAGACAATAGGTTTGTTCGTAGAAAATCTAGCGGGATATATCACTCGATATATCAAGTAGTAAGAAAAAATGCTCCCAAATTCTCTCAAGTAAAGAACGCAAATTTGCAGGAATTTTCAAGTTTCCCGGCCACCTAGTGTCCACGGTTGCAGTTCAAACATAAGACATTTTTATAGAATTTTTAAAAATCTTTCAGGAGAGGAAAAACAGGATCTACATGTATATTTTTTGTTAGTCCGGTTTTTTTTCAAATACGTTTCAATTCCTTTGTAGTAGTAACTGTCGGGTGTCCTCCCAGCAAACATTTGGAGTCATAAATGAGTCTTTAAGGAGTCCTATTTCGGAGCTATTACGCTCATAATGAGCTCATTTAAGAGTCCGATATGAGTGTGTTTCCCTTCCTACGAATGTCGACTTATATGAGCTTAAATTCATACATCAAATGAGCCTCAATATGAGTCATATTGGACTCTTATTGGCCTCATATACGGCTCATTTTGCACTCTTTTAAAACAAGTTTTGGCCTCATATATGACTCTTTTTGAGACCCTTATCGGCCTCATAAATTGCTACATTCGGACTCTTATTTTAGATTGCTCTTTGAGTCTTATTCAACTCACTATATTTGCAAAGGCATTCCGCAAAAAGTCCTTGCAAATAACATACATACATACTTACATGCATATACACATTCCAACATGCATTCAATAGCAGCAGCTGAAGCTAAATTTTGTTCATTTTTATACCCGAGCGCACTTGTGCACAAGGGTATTATAACTTTGTTCACATAACGGTTGTTTGTAACAGGCAAAACGAATCGAGATAGATATAGACAAATGTATACATAAATGATCAGGATGAAAAGAGAAATCGATTAAGCGGTGACTGTCTGTCCGTCCGTCCGTCCGTCCGTCCGTCTGTGCACACGATAACTCGAGTAAAAATTAAGATATCTTAACGAAACTTGGTACGTGTACTTCTTTCGAGCGTAGGACGGATG